TCTATTTATTATAGCAAGTAATCTGCAGACTAAACCTTTCCAGAGCCTTGCATTTCTAATTCCAGTAACATACACCCTCATTATAAGCAACATGAATGATGCATAAAACTTCTAATTACTCTTGCTCCCCTTTAACACTCCCATACCATCATCTAGCTGATACTTTTACGGGGTCCCTGCAGATACAAATCAAAGTGATAAAAGTGATGAGAGGACTGCTGATAACAAATAGCATGCACAGCTATATCTTTGCAGGAAGTTCAGTGAAATAAATCTAATGGGAAAATAATATACTTGTTATATGTCCCATAAATGTCCCCCGGATAGCTGATTCATAGTGCTTTACTTGGGTATATTCAGAATCTTGGTTTTCAAAATGTGCAGTTATCTTGATTTGTTTAGAAGCAGGACAGAAGAAGGGAAGCCTGAGTTCCTATTCCCATCGGTTGCTGTCTGTTTCTGCGGCAGACTTGTTGGGGAGGCGATTTTCAAGGCCGGCGCAAGACAGGGGGGCCCCCTGCGGGCGGGATCCCTCTGCCTCCGGGGGAGCGGCGGCTGCTGCTCTCGCCTGCGCCGATAGCCGGCCTCTACAGCTTCCTTGTCCGTGCCGTTCGCTTGAAAATAAGGTAGGCACTGTCCCCCGAAGTCCCAAAAGCCGGAGGGGCGTTCGTGGGCCCCTGTCCGGAGTGCGGTCGTTCAGGGGAGGGCGAGGCACGGTCCGGCTCGGTGCCGAGGTTTCTCAAGCGCGAAAGCGCGGGTGGTTTCCGGGTCACCCTGCGGCTAGGCGAAGGTGCGACATCCCCAAAATTTGGCCCCACGCAGGAGGGGAAGGATTCTGTGAAAGCTGATCGACGGGGAGCACTTCGGGGAGGGGAATCGTATTGATACTGGGGGGATCACATCGGGGAGAGGAGATCACATTAGGGGAGTGGGGATCACCTCAGGAGATGGGGGATCATAGAGGGGAAGGGACCATGACACCGGCGGAGGGGACAGGGCATCGCCTCTGCCCGGGCGCTTTCCGCACTGAGCCCGAGGGAACGCCTGGTTGATTCACACACGCGGTTCCCACCAGGTGTGCGGGACGGGAGGGGACGGGACGGGACGGGACGGGACGGGACGAGACGGAACGGGACGGGACGGGACGGGGGCGATCCTCCGGAGCAGCCGTGGGGAGGGGGGCGCGGGGCGCGGCGGCCGCGCTCAGCACCCGGGAGAGCTCCGCGCCCACCGCGCATGCCCCGCCCCGCCGGCGCGGATAAAAGCGCGGCGCGGAGCCGAGCGGCGCCAGCCGTGCCACCGCACCGCCGTGCCACCGCACCGCCGGCACCGCACCGCCGTGCCACCGCACCGCCGTGCCACCGCACCGCCGTGCCACCGCACCG